CAAATTGCCTAGGAAAGGAAGGCTAATACAGTAAACCTTCACACTGAGACTGAGAAGGAACCACGTCTGTTCACCTAGTTGTACATTCCTCCCCCTGTCCCTGCTGAGCTGTCTCCTCAGAAGGGAGGCAGTGGGGACTTATGGCAGCCACTCACCTCACCGGCACAAAATCACCCTCTCTCTAGGGCCTGCTCTCTCCTTGGCATGAGGTCTACACTGTCTTTATACTTCTGAAACTGCCTGTACCCTACATCTGACTGAACAGAAAGCACACAACAGCTCTGACCAGGGATTTGCACACTTCTAGAAGATTACTGTACCTGCAGTCTGTAGAAACAAACAAAACACAACCCTCTATCCCGGCAGCTCTGGTGAGTACGGAAGCCCTGGGCATTGGAAATGGATGCCTTTGTCTGTGGCCATACCATCCTCAGTGTGCTCAGTCCCGTCAAAGTAGATGCCACACACTGCCACCCTCTTCTACAAGGAGAGACCCAGAAGGTGGCGGTTGGTGTGTAGACTTGGGTAGCTTTAGGAAGGAAGTTTCCAGAACTCCAGGTGTGCTCCCTCCCATTACTCTTTGGACATTTTTCTTGATGTGGTTGCAATGTAGGTTTTTAACAGCAGTTTGTTCTTGGTTGGGGTGCCCTGATCTAAGCTTGAAAAACAACCAACCAAACACACACACACACACACACACACACACACACACACAAAGAAAATAAATTTACTGATGGGACACAAAGGATCCTGACAGCAGTTCCCCCAGAGAATGCTGCTTGGCCATGGATGACCCACAGGGCATCAATCCTTCAAAGCCTACTTCCAAGTAGTAATGCTTTGTGTTTTGTGACTTCCTGGGGAGACATGAACAAGTGTCTGTTTACCCCAGACAGGACATCGAGGACAGGCCAAAGAGGTGACTCCCCCCGAATCTAGCTCAGGGAACCAGTGAGTGAGTTTCTACAGCTCAGGCTGGCATGGGTGACAGCCCAAGAGAGCTGGATTCCTATAGCTCTGCCCAACATGTGGACAACTCCACTGAAGGAGCTCTCCTCTTTCCCAGAAACTGTTGCTAGTTATAAAACCTTTCGGAGGGGCCTTGTGAGTCTGCAAGGACAAGTGTCTGTGTAAGTCTTTCTCTTCTGCCTAGGGGAGGTCTTTAGACACTGAGGTGACTGGGCAGTGGGCACACAGGAAATTGGGGAGTGAAGTTGGAGGGACAGGAAATCTGAGATGTGGGTCGTGCCCAAGAATTCCAGTTGATAGAAAGGTTTTTAAGCTCTGTATTCTGTGTTCCCCTGTACACATAGGTACGGTTGGGTTTGTGTGGCGTCCATGAGGACAGAGTCTTAATAGTCCAACTCATAGCATGGTTGGAAAGGTTGACTCTCAGAGCCAGGTCCCGCGGTCAGAATTGACTGTGATTTTTCTATTAATGTATCTATATATTTACACCAGGGATGATGATGAGCTGTGGGTTTGGGAGATGCAGAACTTTCACTTTAGTGAGATCAGAAAGTGGTCCAAACCAGCAGAAATAGACTCAAGAGAGCTGGTCAGAGGAGTCATGTGCCAGGTTTGCACTGGGTTGTGGCTCCATCAGCAGAGAGCCCTGGCCTTGGCTCCTACACAGGAAAAAACAAAACCACCCCCCCACTCCACCCCCCCACCTCCCGTTAACTTCACTAAGTATGTCAAGCTCATTTAAATAACAAAGGAAATTAAATTAAATAAAACCCAATAAACATGGGTTTTTACTTTTCACTTTAGAGCTCTTAATTGGTAAATTAAAATGTAAATAGGTATGTGTCAAAAGCTTTCAAATTATCCCTGTCTTTAATCCCACTTCCAGAAACAAGATCACATAAGAAATAATTTGAAGTGTGGGGTATTTGTGTAAATACATAAAATCATGACATTATTTTTAACATCAAAAAACTTAACTTACAGATTGCTCACTTAGAAATCAAATCTGATTTTTAAATTTTCTATTTGTGTGTGTGAGGGGGGATCAGAGGACGACTTTTGGGAATGTCTGAGCTTTGCTGAGGCGGGGCCTCTCTCCCTTCTGCTGTGCTTGGTACTCTAGGCTAGCTCACCTGTGCTTGGTACTCTAGGCTAGCTCACCCCTGAACTTCCTGGCAGTTCGGTCTCTTCTCCCATCTTACCAGAGGCCTTGCAGATGTGAGGTCACTGCTTCGGGCTTTTTATGTAGACTCTGAGGGCTCTAGATCATGTTGCCAGCCTGTGTGGTGAGTGCTTTTCCCCAGGAAGCAATCTCTCTGGCCCGAAATTCTAGTTTTAAGGTAGAATTCTAATGCCACTGAATACGATTTTCAAAGCATATTTAATAATGTGGTGAAATATAACATGGCATTAGACAAAATACTAGGGTGTTATCAGATGCTAATTCAATGTATATTTTTATAATGTATATATAATTGGAAGATCTTATGCATGTAATTTAACCTATATTTAGAATAAGTATTGTTTACATTTATTTAATTATCTTGTGTGTATGAACACATGTCAGAATACAGGTGGGAGGTCAGAGGACAGCTTGCAGAAGTCAGCCCTCCTTCTCCTATACGGGTCCTGGGGATCAAACTTGCCATCAATGTGGTGGCAAGCTCCTTTTCCTGCTGAGCCATCTCACCAGCCCTTAAAATCAGCATCTTCTAGTAATGGGCGTACACCCAGTGTCCTTTAGGATTAGCGCACGCGCACAGGGTGCTGCAGTCCCTACTCCACAAAGGCTCCCTCTGCTACCAGAAGCAAGTGTGTTAAGCCTTGACATGAGAAATGGTGTTCTTAGCTCCTACCTAGAAACACTAGAAACACCTTAGCTGCTGCAGGCACCCATCAGCTTGCCCAGACACCAGCTGCTGGGGTCATCAGGGCAGCTGGTGTCTGAGGAAGGCACAGGGGAGCCCCCCGGGTAAAAGGGGCCCAGCACCTGCCAGGGATGAGCGTAAGGGCCCTTGTCTTCAGGCAACTTGTGAGCAGCTGTCCTCCTGGCTAGCAGTGTTACCAGATCCAAGTTCAGCTGCTTTCCTGATTACCGTGTTTGGCAAGGTAGTGATGTTAGGAGCTGGCAGGTCTGGAAGCTGGATGCCTCTGGCCACATTGCATCCTGTGGGGACGCTGACTCAGAAGTAGTCTGTATGTACAGATGGTGGTCCGTCACAGGCTGGCAGGAGCCTGCTCACAGCCGTGTGCCTGATGACGTATGGCTGATGTCAGTCGCCCAGTCTGTTCTGCAAGGCCCCCCAAAGCAGCTGTTGTTTTCTGGTGGTTTGCCCATTTGCTGTTTCTGCATTGTACACAGCGGTCAGGCAGCAGTGCCACCACCCTGGGAGATAAGGCTCAGGTGGAGACAGAGGCAAAAGCACACTGCAGCAGAATCTGCGGGAAGCTCCAACCAGTGAGCTCGCTGCTGCCTTAGACTGCGGGAGGAAGCGAGCTCACCCAGAGTCAGCAGAAGCAGCAGTGAAGATTGTGGCCAAAGCCACTGGAAACAGAAGGAAGGCAGAAGGCCTTCGAGTTCTTTGTGATTAATCAATCAAGCATTTAGAAAATCACAGAACAGGGACGGAGACTCAGCAAGTGAGGGCAATTTCCCAGTTTTTAAAAATACAGAGAGCGAGACAGTATCTCACTGTGAAGTGCTGGCTGAGCTGGAACCCAGGGATTTGTCTAACTCTGCCTCCAGAGTGCTGAGATCTGAGTTTGATCCCCCCCACCCCCAAGCCACATGGTGGAAGGAGAGAACTGACTCCCACAAGTTGATCTCTGACTCCACAGGCACCTCAGCATGCGCATGCCTAGACTTAGGGGTGTGCACCTGTTCCACCTTCCAGACAGTGACCTGTGTAGTGAGAGATACCATTAGTGCCGTGACTCTGGTTCTTCTAGCTAAGGACAGTGTGCTGGTCCACAGTGTGCAAGCTGAAAATGGTTGGGTTGGCTTTCTGTGGCCACAGAAATGTCTCAGGGTACTATAATACCCCATTCAACATGACTGAGAACATGAAACCTTGTGCTGAATTTGAAAATAGCACTTTTCTACTTTTAGACAGAGTAAATTCCATGTCTTGTCACCTGGTGTTCTATCTGTGAAATAAAAAAAGTAATTTCTTTTAGGAGAGAGAAAGGGAGAGGGAGGGAGGGTGGGGAATGTTTGCGTGTGTTATCTGTCCTGAGTGCCTGTTGGGCCTCTCTTCTGCAGCGGACACAGGAGCTTTGGTTTCTAACAAGAGCACAGCTCCAGGGTCTACTCTCTCTTCACCACTAGAGAATACAGCTCCTGCCTCCTCCCCAGCAGGACACTGGGGCAGGGGGTCCCTAACTCTGTGCTGCAGGTTGACACCCACATTAAGGCTCATTTCTCTGCTTCATCTGGGCTAAGCCCTACTCATCACTTCAGGTTGCATCATCGTAAAATCTATCATGAGACGGTGGGATAAAGATAATGAAAAATGGTCAGTATGAGTTTGAAATGGAACTCAGCAATAGTCCATGGAATAGCAGTTGCAAAGTGTTCACTAGAGATACTCCTAAAGACATGCTTACAGGCGGTTTTCCTCCGCTTCTGCTTGAGTTCTCACAGGTCAGGAGCAGCTGAGCACTTGCTCAGCTAAGCTTGCTATTTATTCTTATATAGGTCATATGCAGTGTGTTTGAGCGCGTTAGAACTCGGTGTGTTTGAGCACGTTAGAACTTGGCGTATTTGAGCGCATTAGAACTCGGCGTGTTTGAGTGTGTTAGAACTTGGTGTGTTTGAGTGTGTTAGAACTTGGTGTGTTTGAGTGTGTTAGAACTTGGTGTGTTTGAGCGCGTTAGAACTCGGTGTGTTTGAGTGTGTTAGAACTTGGTGTGTTTGAGTGTGTTAGAACTTGGTGTGTTTGAGTGTGTTAGAACTCGGATTGCTTCGGCCTCTTTGGCCTCATGGTTGGAGTTACTTTCTGCTGTGACGAGACAACAGTACCCAGGAGAAGGGGCAGATCGGAGAGGGTCTACTTGGCTCAC